GTTATGTATAATATATTACATTTCTGGCTGTATATCCCTGTAATTATTACACACTGTAGCTTTAAGCTTATTATCGACCTAGTAGCCCAGATATGAACCCTGGAGTTTATATTGCACTAATGTGCAACTCAGGAAAAAAACAACTTTTTTTTCTATTGAATGTAGTGTGTTTTATGGGGGGAATCTTTGTTACCAAATCGAATTTGTTATATACATGTCATTAAGTACACAGGCCTGGAAAATGTTTGTCTCAGATTTAGATTTATGTGTCCATAAACAAAAAGCTTAGGACATCATTTTGATGCTTTCAACTACATTCAGTTTTTTTTTTCTTTTTTTTTTTGTTATCAACTGACTGAAACTGTTTGATGTGCCTCTTCAATTGCTGTAACACAAACAAAACAGGAAGCTGTAGAACAGATTGAAGCAGGAAGCTCTACACCTGAGATGCAACAGGTGTTGCCTCACGGTACATAAGTCTCACTTAGTGGTGCTGCGTGATTAAAGGCGGGGGGAGACTCTTAGGGGAGAGAGTCACACCTCTCTGTGATGTTCTGTGTTTTTAACAGCTGCATTTCAGCTCTGTCTATAGATCTGCGACAGGAAAACTTCAACACAATCAAAAGTTAAACCTGAACAAGCTCCATGCAGAACTTACCACAGGAAGTTCAATCAATCTCTTACAGAATGCAAGTGGATGCTTCTGCTCTGTTGCTCTGCTTCGTAAAAAGCCACAACTGCCATGAGAAACCAAACAGTTGTGCCATGGCGTACCTTTTTGTCGTAAACATCCTGCCAGTCGACGCCGGAGAAGAAACTGTGCCTCATTATTTCTTTTGCGTCGTCTGGTCCTCCCCCCAGCCTGGTTGCAGTGTAGAGACAAGTGTAAGAACAAAACTGGGATGAGCACAGCATTTTTTACTGAACAAAAAAAAAAAAAAACGGAAACAACCTTGAGCCCAGATTCTAACGCTTTCTGGTATCTACTATCACTTAAATAACAGATTTTTGTTTTTACGTTCCATATTCATCCATTCTTTTTTAGCAAATATGATTGACTTTAGTAACAGTGCCATCCAGGGACAGGGACCTTTTGTTTGGGTCTTTGATGAGAAGGCCGGACAGCAGCGACTTGGCGTCGGCCGACAGCGTGCGTGGGAACTTGATGTCCTCCATGAGGATGAGCTCAAACAGCTTCTCGTGGTCCTGGTTGTAGAACGGCAGCCGGCCGCACATCATCTCGTACGTGACCACGCCCAGCCCCCACCAGTCAACAGCACGGCCATAGTCATTGTCCTCCAGGACCTGAGGACAGGAACGCACAGTTCCAAAGGGGATCATTAGTTTTATTAGACATCTGCCTTTAGTTTTTGGATGAACCGACTGCAGTGTTCAGTTATGTAGAAGAAGAAAAGGCAAAACAGGACGGGGAGAATTTGGTGGTGCTTCAGGGAGAAATCATAGAGAAGTTGTTTTAGTGTTTAAATGAGGTGTAAACATGATAAGGTTTCTACATCTCCTCAGATGTATGTGTTACAGTAAGGAAATCCGCTTCCTGCCCTGCATGGATTCTGCTGCCAATTCTCCCTGGAAAACCGAGCCCACCTGGCAGGGACAGACGGGAATCTTCCTGGACAGAGAAACTGGAATCGCCTGGATCAAGGTTGCTCGGACCTCTAAGCTAGCCAGCGCAGGTGCTGAACTGTAAGATCTGCTGTGTGGACTGAGAGAAGATGTGCTGAAGAGTAAGAAATGTCTATATCAAAGGCTTTGATCTGCTCCTCTTTCCCGACTGTGCGTCCTGTCTCATCCTATCGTCCCCGTCCTCTAATCACACCTTCCTTCCCCTCGTCTCTTCTCTTTCATTGAGAACAGAGGTAACTCAGGTGCTGTTGACTCCCTCATTACCATAATAAGCTTATTACCGTGATGAGTGTGTGTGTATGTGTGTGTGTGTGACAGACAGACAGACAGAGGGACAGACGGAGCTGGAGTGAAGCCAGAGCGGCATATGTTGTTCATCACGCCAATAATAATAACATCTCACTCACTGTTAATGGACCAGTCGGACACAAGGACACAAACATTCGCAAAACACGCTCGCATGAAACCTGTTCAGAATGCAACAATTCTCAATTACAGCAGACGATTACACCGGAGATGTCAAAACAGGAGGAGGTTCAGAATGCAGCAGCGAAAACTGAGCTGCCGCCAGCAGGGAGCAGGAGACGGAGAGGAGTATAGAAATATGCACCCATCAAGGAGTGGAGACTCGTCCTTATGAATCACAGACTTTGGCTTCATAAAAAAAAAAAGACACCATAAATGTAAGGCAGCTGGAATAAACCTGGATCATCAATTTCAGAAGTGTCGTTTTTTTCAGATCTAAATGAAATTATCTGAAACAAAAGTCTTTTTAGAACCATCGCCCTCCTCAATATGTCTGCATCCTTAAACTTCATAAAAATAAACACTCATTCTCATATCAGCAATAAGATACAAACATATGTCTTCATTATAATTTATCTTAATTGCTAAACAAACCATTTTCTACACATGTATTGATGTACCTTTATATTTGTTGTCTGTCTCTTTGTATTTATTTTGATATGTTATGGAGAAAAACTACATTGATATAAATATCTAAACTTTAGTTTTCTGAGGCTTTTATTGTATGTTTTGGGGTTATAGCCTTCCTCTGGACCTTTTAAATTTATAAAATTGGCAAAAACAGCAAATCTATATCTTTTGAAAATATAATTCATAACAGATGACATCTAGACAAAATCAAATCTAAACATTTAATGAACAAAACTATAATGTAACAGCTGCCTTTAAGTCTCAGCAACAAAATCAGTGTTATCCTGACATGTTATGTGCTCCTAAAAGAAGCCTCTCAAATGTACTATACTCTGACAAAGTGTTGTGTCCCAGCTGTAGGGAGCGAAAAAGGCTGGTTTCTCTCATCTTGCAAAAAAAAAAAAAGAAAAACATACAAAAGCACAAACAAAAACCCACAAAAGCAGTTGTTGTCAGTGTCAGATCAGCGCAACAGGAAGCTTGACTTTAACCGACAGATTCTTCATGGAGCACGACGTCAATGACTGCAGTAACTGTTGGTCATATTATAACCACGTTATAGCTATTTAAGGACGTGATAGAGAGAGTGAAGAGGATTATTATTATTACCAACAGGAAGAGGAGTAACTAAGGATCTGTATCAGCATCTATAATATAGCTGTGCTGCTCCTTTAGTGAAAGACTTCTACAGCGGCACTACAACTGCAATAACTTGTGCAATAACTAATATGCAAGCACTATTTAATACCCTGTGCAATAACTATATAAATAAATACCTATTTATATATACCTTTTTAATACCTGTGCATTAACCTGTGCAATAATAAAGACTTCAGCTGTTCTCCAATCATTCAATAATCTAAATGTGTGGCATTGAGTCGTAGGCTTTCTTGTAATCAATCCAGGCAGTACTTAGGTTAGTGTTTCGGGTTCTGCAGTCTTCATTGACTGTTCTATCTACCAGGAGTTGGTGTTTGGCACCTCTGGCATTTTTGCCAATTCCCTTCTGAGCTGTGCTCAGGTATTGATCCATGTGCCCGCTTATCTTAGCCGCTATGATCCCAGACATGAGCTCCACGTTGTGGAGAGGCAGGTTATGGGTCGATAGTTGGATGGGACTACAGTATACCATTTGAGGGGTCCTTCTGAATCAGGATTGTTCGCCCTCGGTTAGCAATTAAGGGTAACCGAAGGGCGAAGGTACTCCACAAAGAGGGGGTCTCAATTCCAGAAGGAACAATAGCAGACAATGAAGTTAGCTACAAGTACCATAGAATCCCACAAGCAAATGGCAACCTCGAAGAGGTAACAAGGAAAGCGACTACGGCCAAATACCTCCAACGATTAAGGCAGGTCATAAGGAGCCAGTTCAATGGCAAGAATAAGTCTCGGGCAATAAATAGCTACACTCTACCAGTAATCAGATACCCTGCAGAAATAATAAGCTGGCCAAAGGAGGAGGTACAGGCCACAGATGTTAAGACACGAAAGCTCCTAACCAGTCATGGAGGGTACCATCCCAAATCCAGTACCCTGAGACTGTATGCCAGCCATAAGTAAGGAGGCAGAGGACTAATGGTGTAGGAGACACTATCCAGGATGAAACATCCAAGATCCCTAAGTACATCAAGGACAAGGCTACAACACACTACATCCTCACTGAATGTCTCAGACAATGGTGAACAGAAGATGAGGTGCCAGAGACTCTGTCATTGGAGGATAAGCCTCTACAAGGGATGTACCACCATAATATAAATGGAGTGGCAGATATCAGGAAATCCTACCAATGGCTACACAAAGGCGGACTGAAGGACGGCACAGAGGCACTCATCATGGCTGAACAGGAGCAGGCCCTAATCACCAGAGCAATAGAGGCCCAAATCTACCACACCAGACAAGACCCCAGGTGCAGACTGTGCAAAGAGGCCCCTGAGACAATCTAGCACATGACTGCAGGGTGCAAAATGCTGGCAGGGAAAGTTTACATGAAGTGCCATAACCAAGTGGCTGGAATAGTGTACAGAAACTTCTCTGCAGAGTATGGGCTGAAAACCCCAAGGTCAAAGTGGGAAACTCCTCCAAAGATGGTAGAGAATGATCAAGCCAACATCCTGTGGGACTTCCATATACAGACGAACCGAATGGTAATGGCAAACCAACTGGAAATTGTGTTGGTGGACAAAAAGCAGAGGAAAGCTGTTGTGGTTGCCATAGCAATACCAAGTTACTGCAACATCATGAAAAAAACATGAAAAACTAGAGAAAAACCAGGGCCTCAGAGAAGAGCTGGAGAAAACCTGGAAGGTCAAGACATCAGTGGTACCCGTGGTCATTGGGGCCCTCGGGGCAGTGACCCCCAAACTGGAGGAGTGGTTACAGCAGATCCCTGGAAATACATCAGACATCTCAGTCCAGAAGAGTGCAGTTCTAGGAACAGCAAAGATACTGAGCAGAAACCTCAAGCTCCCAGGCCTCTGGTAGAGGACCCAAGCTCGACGGAAAAAGGGGGGAAGACCACCCGCGATGGGTGAGGAAGAGTTTATAAATATATAAACATATATATAGCACAGACTAAAATTGTGGACACACCTTCTCATTCAAAGAGTTTTCTTTATTTTCATGACTATGAAAATTGTAGATTCACACTGAAAGCATCAAAACTATGAATTAACACATGTGGCATTAAATACCTAACAAAAAAGTTTGAAACAACTGAAACAATTTCTTATATTCTTGGTTCTTCAAAGTAGCCAAGTTGCTTTGATTAAAGCACTTGTTGGCACTTTTGCCAAGCTAACTTTATTGATCTAGCTAAGTGCTAGATCAATTAAGTCTTATCTAATCTCAACTCCCCATGCTGTATTCTCTCATGTTTAGCTTCATCAACTCTGATGAAGAAATGCATCACCTTCCTCACACCATGATGCTGCCACCACGTTTTACTCTTGGGATTGTTACAGCATTTTCAAACACACATACAGCTTTCTGTATGTAAGCTAAAAAAAAAAATTTAAAAAAAATTGACGTTTGCTTTGTCCCCTATTTTACAGGATTTCTCTTAACAATGACCTTTACTTTTACTCCCTGATAAGGGTTAAAGACTTCTTTATATAAAATAGGTGGTGGCAGGTTAAAAATATGTAAAAAAGTTCATGTCATCTTGAGTCCTCCTCAAAGCACTGTATGTTAAAGTAAATAAGAGTTACGAGAGCCATTTGTTATGTGTAAATGTGTTTGCGAGGGAATCAAGCTGGTCACCCAGTTGGCAGCTGCAGAGAAGAGCTGGGGGAATGAAGCACGGCGCCAGCTCCAGATATATACTTCTGACTGGTACGGCTGGAGGGATAACACCGGCTTAGACTGCTGGGAGACTGTCAGACACACACTCGTACACGGCAGATGGAATATTTATCCATCCTCATCAAATTCATAAAGTTTGGAGAGGGAGGCAAACTGGGAGATGTTTGGTGTTGTTTCAGCGCTCACACAGTAAGGGCTGCAGTTTGTGAAATTCAAAGCAGCTTAGAGGGCTGTTTTTGCTGCTAATCTAGTGAGCTGTCTGAACTTTTTCTTCTTTATACAAAGATGCAACATAAAGTTCAGACGTGCTGACAAATAAATCTGTTGGGTTGGATATGAAGAAAATGCCTGTTTTTCATTCACTTTAGTTTTTTTTGTTACGTCCATTTCGGCCCATTCTCTTCTTTGAGACTCCTGTCAGCTCCTCTCTTCCTGCTGTGCAAAAGCATTCCAAAGCATGATGCTGCAATCACCATGTTTCACAGTAGGAACGGGGAGTGAAGTGTTGTTTTTTTGGCCATTTGTCATTTTTCATATAGTCCTAAAAGGCGAGCATTTTCTTTTACAGTCTCCTCTACATGATTTGTAGCAAACCATGAACAGAACTTTTTAAAATGCACAACTACATCTGTTAACACATTCTCCCACAAGACTTTTGTAGCCAACTGGTGTCATTTAGAGGTAACAGATATAGGGAACACAAGCACAAAAGGAGAAAGATATACATCTTTTGTACCGATTAAACTTTATGGACTATTTTGCATTCATCTATGACGTAAAATCCATTAAAAATGCAGTAGTTTGTGGTAATAACTTCAGATAAAATGTTGATTTTTAATGCACTGTTAGCGTGTGGATGTGCAGAGAAGGCTGTGTGTTTTAGTTTGACCCATGTCTGAGGAAGGTGGTGGCAGCTCGGTTGCAGGCAGGGAGCAGATTAATCCACACAGAGCCAGAATGCTGCCCTACAGCCCCAGGCGCCGAGGCATCGCATCGGGTTTGTGTGTGTATAATGTAGCAACAGAACTGAGTAATAAATGGGACGATATGAGTTAGGGACAATTTAAACCATCAGCAGGAGAGGAGGAGAGAGGAGCGGAGCTGAGATTAAAAGCAGCAGAGAGGGAAAAAGGTCTCGACCCGTCCCGGTCCCCGCTGGGGCAGCCATGTGGCAGCTAGCTGCTGTTCGCAGGACGGGGGCTTTGGCAGAAAGCGCAGGGGCTACACAGGACGGGACAGGCTCACAACGCCTGTGGCTGTTACAGCCCAGATAGCCAGCAGGGGAACACAGTCCCACATACACACTTCCTATACTGTGGCCATACAATCCCATATTGCTGATGTCAGACGTGGACCTTCTATCTGCACAGTGTCATTATTTGGAAACGGGTTTACCCTGACAATCTGCTAACATTTCCAAATGTTCCCCTAACAGCTGACTGCGCCGCAATGTTTGTTAAACATTTATAGTGAAAAGGTCACTGTCCGACATATACAACACACATAAAAAAATAAATAAATGAATGGAAAAAGACCAATTCCACCCCCTTCAATACTTTAAAAAACTGCCACAAAGAAAAGTGTCAAATACAGAAAATATGGAGGAAGAAGCAGAGAAAACACTCTGTGTTTTTTTTGCTACTTCTTTGTTTTTTTCTGTTCAGTATTCTCACGTAAACGTTTGTTCTATTGTGGCTGTTATAGAAACAACACCTCAGTCTGCTGCTCGGCATCTTCAGCTGCAGTGATTCACTTTGCATTGCTGTAAGATCATTTTCTGCCCCCTTCCTAGGACAGCAAACACAGGAACCATCAGAATTTCCCTCCTGTAACCCTGAAAATTTCTTCTTGTCTCCCTCCATCTACGACCCCCCCCCCAATCCAATCCACCTTTCTCTTTTTAATCCCGGCTACTTTGCATCTCTGTAACTTGGCTCCAAGCGAGCTGTGTTATTTTTACACGCGGGCGAGCGGAGTGTGCGGGCGGGCGGGCGAGTGGCACTGGTGTAGATTTCCAGGGTTTTTTTTTTTCTTCCTTTTTTTTTTTTCCCGACCACCTTCCTCCAACCTCGCCCATCTGCCGCCATCTGCCTCGCTTTAGCCTGCACTTTCCGCAGCACTAACACACACACATAAATGCACAAGGAGACGCACATCCTGTGAAAAATAACCAACAGCCTCCAATCAGCTTTTGGCACGCAAAGGAAGGGACTACAGGAAAAAAAAAAGGCACAAAACACTGCGCCAAATTGTCCACCGTACTTTTTTTTTTTTTTGAGTGGGATCTACACTCTGCCTCTCTTGTCTTTACGTGCACATCTCCATCGCTCTGTCTCCACCACCTACAGTCCTGCATCCATCTTGCCAGTTGATCCTCTGGCCTCCCACTGAAGCAGCGTCCGTCACTGGACAGCGTACGGCGGCGAAAAAGAAAAACAGGGAGTGCAAGAACGTGGCTGTTGAGAGCATGCGTGCTTAGTTCGACCGCCAACACCCTCATTCACACTCCTGAGCTGCATATTTACTCCTCACCCTGATATTATGGAAACTACTTGCCTGTGAAATCAGAGAAATAAAACATACACATGCATGAAGGCAACAATTCAAACATGCTAACAAATAAAAAACACAATATGTGTTTGAGCGGGAGCAACCATAAGTTAGAAGGCGTGCAGTGACCTTCCCTGGTGTGTGGCCGTTTATCAAAGACGGGTTATAATCCCGGTGGTTAAGCTAATCAGATGGGGCTGCTGTTAGATAAACAGGCGCTGTGCTGCGGGCGACCGGAGTCCCCACAGTTCACAGAGGCCCCCGTGCGGCCTAATGGATAGGCTGCCTGTGGATGCTGCAGATGCTTTTATGTAGAACAAGGCCTCAGTCAATCTGCTAGCTTTGCCGAACATAACAGTCAGACCCCTGATGAACGTATCGCTCATCAGTTGATTAGAGATAAACAGAGCGAGAAAGCTTTAATGTCAAAGCGATGAAGGAATTCATCACCGCTGATGTTCACCTGATGTGTTACACCTTTCAGCGTTTCATCCTTAATCTGCAGTTTGCTTTGTCCAAACATTTCATTTAATAGTCTGATCTGACCCCATGCATGGCCTAGTTAGCAATACCAAGATCCTAAATCCCCTACGTGTTGCTGCGCACTGCCAGCGAGCTGGCTGAGAAAATGTTATTAAGTTCTACCATTTGGCTTGTGTCTGGATTCAGCTGCTTTAAAACTACAGCTGCCATGCTACCAGCTGCTTTGCATTGTGTTTTAAAGATAACCTTTTTAAATCATGTTATGGTCTAAAAGGTCTGCTCATTACATATTAGTCTGTCTGGAAATACTTTTGGATCGTGAAAAAAGCAAACAGTCATGGTGTATAAACCAAAGAAGCATTCCATAATGATGGTTATTAATTATAATAATGATTTCTTTCCCCATTTCCCCCACCAGTCTTTTTAGGTTTTAGCATTATGACCGATAAAGATATAGATCAAGTATTGACATAAGCAAGGCAGTGATATTAAGTCCAAAGGCCAGCATAGAGAATTTGCATGCATGGAACTTGTTATATACGTAACAAAATATCACATCTAAAGGCTTATGTTGGAAAAAGTAATGATAAAGTCGATGTGACATGTTGTCCAGGTCTGGTAAGCTGCATGTTTGCTAAGCTGAAGATAACAGGCTAGCTACCACAGCAGATACACATTTTACTCCATAAAGACCAACAGGACAAGCTTGGAAATTAATACACTTAGTGGCAATTTAGGTGTTAATTTGATATTTTTCCTTTAGTCAAGTTAAATTTAGGTTAAAGGTTTATTCAAGCTATATATAACATGTCTTTTGTTCCTTCATTCAGTCTGAAAGTAATTACATGCACAGTGAGATCCCTTATATTTATGCTTCAATATTTTTATATAGTGGTGGTACAGTGATTCTATTGTAGTTTCATTCAGGGTTACCTTCTGGCCTGTTGCTAGCAGACCCATATGGTACACCTCTGCTAAAACAAAAATAGGCCTCGAATCACTGCAGTACTATAATCCTACACAGACTAATGATCCATGTGAATCTTTAAAATAGCCAAATATTTATGCATATACCGTAATTTCCTAGCTAACGAAGATAAACATACACGTTTAATAGACTGTTCGTTAGATTTGAAGAGCAGATAAGAAGACAGGTAGAGAATAAAAAAACAGTGAGAGGAATAAGGAAGCTGAATCTGATTGTAGTAGTTTGTATGAAGCGTTACCTCTGGTGCGAGGTACTCTGGTGTTCCACAGAAGGTCTTCATGGTAGCAGCGTCAGTGATGCCCTCCTTGCAGAGTCCAAAATCTGTGATTTTTATATGACCGTCTTTATCCAGCATCAGGTTTTCCAGCTGGACCCAAAACAAAAAGACAGAACTTATTGTCATCATCCATCAGTGAGAACTATCAGCGTTCCTGCAGTGCTGGGCGCTTTGATAACAGATCAAAAAGCCAAAAGTGTAACAGTGAGCAGAGGTAGACACATAAACAGAGAGATGAGTAGGCACACCAAGACACACTGAACTCTGAACAAATGAGGGAAATAAACTTCAGGCGTGTTGTGGAGCCACTCAACCTTTTAATTTTAATGGCTGAAGTGTTTTTCTCTCTCTGCGCCTGCTTTTTTTTTCCCCTCCTGTTTTCTTGGCTGCTGTCAGCAGGTCTGAGGCCAAGGCTGCCAGGCAGGCGCTCAGACGGAGCCATCTACCTCTCTACCTCTGTGGCATCAGCACCCCCCAATCTTTTTTTTTTTTGCTTTGTGTAGGTCTCTGTCCCACTTTTTAATTACAACCAATTCTGAGCCACTTGAATCAACGAAGAAAAAAAAAAAAGGAAACACACACAACTGTGGAGCTGATAAAAAAAAAAGGTGAGGGGGGGGAGCAGCAATTCTTTTCCCTCAAATATGTGACCAGACTCCCCTTTTACTTCTGGGTTCTGTTTACCTTGAGGTCCCGGTACACAATCTTGGCTGAATGCAGGTAGTTGAGTGCTGAGACTATCTCAGCGCCGTAGAAGCGCGTGCGTTCCTCTGAGAACACTCGCTCTCTGGACAAATGGAAAAACAGCTGCAGGAGAAGGAGAGAGGAAGACAGAGAAAGGGGTGAGGTAGAGAGCAAGCCCAAAAAAAAAAAGGAAGGGTAATGGGGGGGAGAAATGTGGGGGAGACAGCAGGGACGGCACAGCAATAATTACTGATTTATTGGAGGAAATTAGCACAACACAAACTGGCTGCCCGCACCATATTGAGATGATAGATAGCGGAGGGGAGAGTGATGGCAGGAGGGGGGCTGGCGTCTCGGAGGAGGGTGGGTGGAAGAGCCCGGCAGCTGGCGCCTCATCTAGCAGCCCCCCTTTTGCTGCACACACTTCTTCCATGTAACCCTACGGGCCGCGTTGGCACAGCGCTAGCAAGGAGCTGGCTGATCTGGGCCAAATCAAGGGGTTTAATCAATACACCATTCTGGTTAAAGACAGAGCGATGGCTGCTGCTGCTACAGCCAACACCTCTGCCATGCTACCTCCACTGCAGCGCTCATTACTGGCCTAACCCTGGGCCTCCATCTTTCTTTTCAACTTGCTTACATCTGGAGTTGGATGGAGACTAATTCCTTAACAAACAACTCATCTCTTTTAACCCTCCTACAGAGGGGGAAATGGACAGATATCAGTACAAGTTAGACCAAAAATAATATTAACTGGAATAAAAAGATGATGATGATGATAATGAAAAATGGTGCTGTTCTACAGTATGTGGGAGGTTGTAGCCCAAAGTTTATCTGGTCCCACTGACCAGACGAAAATCTCCCAGTTTGTCAACAATCTGTCAGAAGTTTCTGTAACAAACTAAATGAGTTTTATAATGGTTTTTCTTCAGCAGTGGAGTCTTCTGCTGTGAGTTTGTCTAGAGGACACGACAAATGAGTGTGTTATACAATCTTTTGGAAAAACTGGACCTGCTTATTATATA